CGCCGTGCTACTCGCTCCATTGACATATTCAGCTTGGGCTTGGTGTTTTTCTATGTCCTGACGAATGGTTCCCATCCTTTCGACTGTGGCGATCGCTACATGAGGGAGGTGAACATCCGCAAGGGCAACTACAACTTGGCGCCACTGGATGCTCTTGGCGACTTTGCCTATGAGGCAAAGCATCTCATCGGCTCGATGTTGGATGCGAATCCGAAGGAGCGCCCTTCAGCTCGCGATGTCATGGCTCATCCGTTCTTCTGGTCTGCCAAGAAGCGCCTTGCTTTCTTGTGCGACGTCTCGGATCACTTTGAGAAGGAACCCAGAGACCCCCCAAGTGATCATCTTGTTCATTTGGAGAAGCATGCTCCGGCGATCACCAAGGGAGATTTCCTTCGGCTTCTGCCACGAGACTTTGTGGACTCTTTGGGCAAGCAGCGCAAATACACTGGGTCCAAGCTCCTTGATCTGTTGAGAGCTCTGCGCAATAAGAAGAACCATTACGAGGATATGCCCGACGCGCTAAAGCGGGCAGTTGGTCCTTTGCCAGAAGGTTACTTGGCGTTCTGGACAGTCAAGTTTCCTAGACTTTTGCTGGATTGTTGGAACGTGGTGTGGACCGTGGAATGGGACAGTACTGACCGGTTCCGGGAGTACTATGAGCCAGCCGGTCTTTGAGATGTCGATACGCATAAAAGTCAATGATTTTGCCATGCTTTCAAACTTGTTCTACTTTTCCGTGACCTGATAAGCTCCCCTAGTGGAATTGTAAAAATGTTGGAGAGCCTGATACCTACTCAGAATTTTCGATTCCAATGCTGTAGTAATAAGTATACTGCAAAAAGTAGTCTACTTTTCATAACCCGAAGTTATATGTATCAGATCCACTACTCGCACTTGCACAGAGAGACGCGTAAGAAAATTACCTTTGGCAGGTCGCCAGGTCTATCCGGGTCCTCACTGCTCGAGACGATCTACAAGGTACATGTCATGACCCAGAGCGGTAGGTAGCCACACATTTGCTCTATTCATTGAAGACCTGTTACTTTTCTCTGGTCTATTGTGTCTGTTACTCTTTCTTTTCTTTATACCTCCTGAAAACTGCAGACCACCCACGTATGGCCAAATCCTTTAAGTGTTCAGCAATCTTTTACACGCTGCGAGGCTCGATGTAACGTCAAACAGTGTTGTTCATCACCCCCATCTCAGAACGCCTTGTGAGGCATCTCCCAGCTTCTCAACCCCACTGGACAAGCACCTTCTTGCCCTTCTTCTTCTTGCCACCTGTGCTCTGACCAGCTTCCTCGTCTTCCCTCTCCGATACATTCTCGCTCGCGGCTCCGCTTCCTGGGGCCGATCCCCAGCTGAAGTTACTGGCAGCGCCGCCCAGATCGCGTCGCACACCTCGTCCCGATCCATAGCCAAAGATTGTTGTGAGGGGCTTCTGTGCCGGAGGCAACGCGGGGAAAGCAGATGATGGTGGCGGTCGACCGGCCGGCGTCGAGCGCACGGGTCCTGCGGAGCCCGAGGATCTCGAAGCGGAGGGGTTGTTCGGCCCAATCCAGGATGGCTGTGGTGCCGTCGACTTGGAGGACGAGGCCGCGGGGAGGGCAGGGAAGGCCGATGGCGCTGGAGGGCGAGAGGAGCCCGACGTGGAAACCCAGTTCGCCGAAGCGGCCGGGGCCACCGGTTTAGGCCCCGAGGCGCCGGCTCGGGTGCTGTTCTTCAGCCTCAACACGCGGTTGGAGTGCTTCTGGTTCGAGCTCGGTGCGGCAGCTGGCGCAGTGGGGGACGGCGAGGCTGCACCAGCCCAGCCGCTTGAAGCCGTCGTCGCGCCGTGCATACCGCCCAAGCCAGGCAGAGACGGGTAGTCTTCGTTGATGGCTCTCCAGTCCTGCCACGCTTTGTGCAGAGCCGCGACCTTGCTCTTATCCTCGAATAGGTCAGCAACTTCACGGACCAATGTACCCAATGCGTTTGACGATGTATCAGCGAAGAGCGAGAAGAAGGCATCGACCAGTTGAGGGGCGGTCAAACTTCCTTTTCGGAAATTTGAAATGTAATCGCGGAACTCCTTCATCTTAGACTGATCGTGGCCAAGCAGGTTTGAAGCGCGCTCAACGACGCCTTGGTGGCGCAGCATCACCGCTCTCTCCTGAGGAGGCAATGATGCAATGTCAGTCACATTGAGCTGCTCCATCTCGGCCGTAGGCAGCGCAGGCGCAGGTGCGGCTGCAGCTGCAGGGGCTTGACGTGATGAACCCCCAGGCGCCGGCGCACCATTACCTCGGCGAGACGAAGAAGCGGGTGTCGTACTCGCTGGCTGGGAGAGAGAACCGCCAAAGGTACGGTTAGTAACTGACTGTGCCGAGTGGATTGCCATTTGTCTTTGGAAGGCAAGCTCATCCCGACGCAGCGGTTGCGCAGAGCTATGAGGTATGGGTTCGGCATTGGGATCCCGGCCACGGCCACGGCCTTGGCGTCCGCTGGAGGGGCCATCGCCACCGCTGCCGCCGCTTCTACCGCCGCCACCTCCTCCACGTCTCTCGGTCTCGTATGTCGATCTGTAATCAAAGCCTGACATGTTGACTACCCTCGCATCTCTCCGCACATCCTTGGACAGAGAGTTGGCATGCTCTTCCAGTTGATGCGCCTTCAAGTCCATTTCCGACTCAAAGACGACGAATTTCTTCTCTAGGCATTCCTTGTCCAGACAGGGGAAATGGTCTTTTTCAAAGTGCTTCTCCAAAGCATTGTAGTTGACAAAGTAGTGGGGGTGTCTCGAGTCTCTCCGGTCGCAGATGAAACATCTTTCGTGCTTTTCGCGGCAGTGATCAAAGAGCTTATCGTCGTCGTAGAAGCGCGATCCGCAGAACCCGCATAGGGGATGTCCCTTGAAGCCCGTCTGGTCAATGGCACCTGGCCTGTCGTCTCCGTGCCTCATATGCTTCTCGAGCTCCTTGTCCGCAAAGAGTTCATGCTCATGGGTAAAGACCTTCTTGTTTCTGGTACACAGGTCGCACATCTTCATATGATGCGTTGACCGAACGTGTCTATGAAGATCTGGCCAGCCTAAACCGGCAAAGACACAGTCTTCCGCGGGGCAATTGTATCGCAGGAGCACGACAGTGTCGCCGACAATTTCCTCATTGGTATATCGGATGCCAATGTTGCTGTCGAAGCTCGTGATGTCGGCGTCGGTATAGTCCTCGTATCGCTTGTTCGCATCGTCCGTGAAAACGACAAAGGGAGCAGCAGTCTTGCTTGAAGTTAGTCTCGGCGTATCAATGGCGCGTCAGTGTAAGTAAGACTTACTCGACAATGAGGACAGTCCTTGGTCTTGTACAGGGCTCTCATGCGTAGACCACAGATGTGGCAGGTCTTATGGTTGCATGGTGCAATCGAGTGGAACTTGATGGGCTCTGCGCAAATGAAGCACACCTCTCCGTCGCTGCTCGCGGTATCATCGTCCGCTGCAGCCGTACGTGTGAGCACCTTGTTATCGGCTTTGGTGACGGGGGCCTGTGATGCGCTCGAGGTTTCTGGCTGGGTTGACGCAGCAGCGTTATTACCGCCTCTGCCACGTCCTTCTCTTCCTCTTCCACGGGTTCCAGCGTTGGCTCCTCCTCCACCTCCACCACCGCCGCCGCGACCTCTTCCACGGTTGCGATTACCCCTCGAGGGGTTCGAGTCGCCGCCGGCAGCGTGAGTATCGGCCATCGGGACAGTCGTCTTTCTCGTAGATAATGAGACTGTCGAGTCGGCTGGACAATCCTGTCGAGACCAACGGTCTTACACTGGCAGTGCCTTTCTTGGATGCGCGGAAATTGGTCCTCCACTTGAGCTTGCTTGTGGATTGGTGTAGCTGCAACTGAACAGCTCGTTCCAGATTGCGTGCAGTGACTTGAAGAGGTAGCGTAAATTGGTAAGAGAGTAGGAAAAGGCCGGGATACAGACGGGCAACCCGGTACTTTTAATCGGGCGCTGCGAGACGATGTACGTCGAAATTAATGATTATGTGTGGCTCCCAAGGGAACCGCGAGTGGGTTGGATTGGCTCTGGCATTGGTGGGTGGAGGGAACTCATGGCGGGGTCCAGCAAAAAAAGTCCCCTTCCATTGCTCGTTGAGGTGGCAGCTGCTGCCACTGAGAGTACTAACTTCCATTCTGGTAAACGACCGCCGACCGGGGTTTCTCCGTGCTCTCGGTGTGCGTCATTCACCCCTGCAACCGCCATACCGCCATGCCGCCATCTGAAGAAGCTTCGAGGCTTACATAACACAGCAACAACCACGAGCTGACAGCTGAGCTTCGCGGAGTCACCAGCCGGTTCCAGGCCACATTTGTGGCTTTGCACTCGACTCATCGAGGCGGTGCAAGAGGCATTCGAAGTCTTTCTCAATGGATGTCAGATATCTCGATTTAGAATCGCCTCTGCCTTACCTCAGGTACCCCAATATGAGTTGCATACAAAATGACTCATCTGTAATCATCGTTTCTCTGCTGTAGCTGAAGCATTGTTGTGCGGTGCCAGTTTCTCTCTCATTCGATGCCTATGGTCTTGCATCATTGACTTCCCAAAATATGTTGCGTCATTGGACAGGCAGAGGACTAAACCAGTATCTTAATAGAGTGTATTTCAAGGGAGACTAGTCTCGACCGATTCCAAAGGCCGAGCTAGCCTAGATTCTCTACCTCAGGTAGCGTAGAGCCTGCAGTTGCAGCCACAGCTGCAACATCCAGCATGGCCAAATACTAAGTATGTAAAGATGCCATGGCGACAACGAACCCACCCTCTACTGATATCCTCCTCCAACAACCACACTAGAAGGCACTTCGCGATTCGCCATCCATTTGCTGCCTGTACCCGACCCGGATGTCCAACCAAACCGCCCGGAAAGTTCTGATTGCCCATCCCAAACCAGAAAGACGCCATTGCTTTAAATCGCACCGCTTGTCCGTGTTATTTTCATCCTTGGACCATGTCCCTCCTTAAATATACTCTCACTGCTCCTCAACCGGGTAAAGATGGGCCCCGATCATCTTGTTCATTTGGAACATATCCACCTTGGATTGTTTGAAAATCGCGTGCATCTTGTCGTCGCAAATGATTTGTCTCTTGTTTTCCGGATCCTGTAGGTCGTTGCCCTTGATGTGTTCCCAGAGCTTCTTGACAACCTGCGGGCGAGAGAGCTGGGGTAAAAAGTCAGCATGTTATTGTCAGACAGCATGTCATCCCGGAAAAATCATACCTGAGGTTCGCCAAGCAACTCTGACAACGGCTCGCTCAAGTTGAAGGGCTTTTGGAATCCACCACCAGCCTTGCGTTTCGGCGCTTCGCCGCTGTCCTCGACGTCGCTGTCGTCAATCTTCTTGTCGCTCTTCTTGCGGGGCGCCTTCTTCTTCTTGGCCGCTTTGCTACCCTTACTGCTTGCGCCATTGCCGCCTCGAGTTGTCCTTCCTCTTGCCATTTGGTTTTCCTGAGCTTGTAGCTTCGCAGCGAGCTTGGCATCGGCGTCTTCAGACGAGTCCTCACGCTTCTGTCTCTTCCGGACAGGCGCGACGGACACCTCAATCTCGCCATCAATATCATCGTCGTGGCCGTTGGCTTCGCGCTTCGGAGCGGGACTTGCGGAGTACGAGTCGGGGGCTGCGTCGTTGGAGCCTGAGATGGCGTCGAAGCGCTCTTCTATCAGCGCCTTGATGGCATCCTGCAAGCATCTGTGTTAGCTTTGACCCAGGTTATTGGTAGGTGTATGTCTGCAGCTGGCAGTGGGATTACTGGGTATATAATTACCTTCTGAGCAGTCAGGTCCTTCCCGCCAAGAGCTTTCTCCAGACCCAAACGGATCTTCTTGCGAGTGATGGTCGTCAAGTCCGCGGTCGCAAGGATGCCATCTATGATGGCCGTGTAGTTATCCTCATCTTCAGAGCTCACTGCAGAAATCAGTTTAGCGACAGCGTTGCAGGCAACAAGACCTAAAGCGCAGGAACATACGGGGAAGAGACATGTTGCTGCCAGAGTGTATGATGTTCCTGGAGTAGTGTTTTGTAGATGTGTCGATATTCGATCCGGAGCGACCGATAGTCGCAGGTGCACGGTCGGTTGGAGTTGTCGCGCAAGAGTATTGCGAAGCACTTGGAGACGCAGCTGGCCGGTCGATTGTGGAAGAAGCTGAGGGATCGGCAAGAAGAGAGTTGGTAGGTGGATTGTTTGGTTGGCCTCGAATCAGAGCATATCTTTGACGATCCGTACCTCAGCTTGGCATCAGTGGGAAGGCGCGAGGGGCATGAGAATTCGAAGTCGAATAGAAGATGCAAAGTGGGACAGCACGATCCACGCCTCTGGCTTCTTTATATCGCGGCGGAGTGCATCAACGTGCTGGCACACACACACGCACAAGGCTGAAGAGCGGCCGATCTCTTGGTGGGGCGTGGCTGCCAAGGCGGGAGTCGCGAAAGAGAGCTGATGCACCTGATGGATATAACGTGTCGCTGGGAGACGTGGAAGTTGATCTGGGGGTGTGAGAATGGACCGGCGAGGTTTTGTCCCAAACGGCCAGATGCGACGGATGTGCGGTGTCGGTGCAGTGTGCAGTGTGCAGTGTGTGGTGCGATCTGTGGCCCGGGCAAGAAAAGGTGAGGCTCACACTTTCCGATGTTTGGTTCTTGTTCGGTCGGCACCTTAGCGTGTGGTCTGTTCTGAAGACCGGGTAGTCTGTTGGTAGTGTATCTGTACGTAGGTGAGGTAAGGTCAGGTATCCGCAGCAGGGGAGAATGAGATACCTCAGCAACCAAAACAACGCCGACGAATAGAAAGCCCAAGTGCGGGTTATGTGTGGCTGAAAGGATGGAAAGACAGAAAAAAAAGTGGTCTTTGGGTTCTTTCTTGTCTTGCAGTTGTGCATTAGACGTTGGCTCGTGCTGCCATCAGTCCCAGACCTCGACGCCGTGCCAATCACATTGCCGAATTGACTCCCGGCTGATGTTCCTTCGGCAGCCCCACCCCACACCGGTCGCCTGACAAGCATCACGTGGCTCGGCTTGCATTATACGGCCGGGGAAGGCGCCTCTGGAGGTTTCACCCAGTCTTATCTCATTGTCATGGTATATCTACCTTAGTAAGCAAATCAGGTAGTCATATTCAGTCATATTCAAGTAAGATAATTACCATATATCAAGATGGCTTAAAGTGCCTATAGAGAGTATTTTCAACCTACCTACCTTGCTAAGTATTGATTATGTCTTATATCGACTTCGATCGCATGTCAGCACCTTGTCTGGCCGGTGGGATACTTTTTCGGTGTGTAAGCCAATCAGAAACTAGATCAAGTCTCGGTGAGGTCTAGAGCGGTTCCCAAATCAGCAAAGGCGCACTCCACTATTCCAAGTTAGCTTCGGGCCAATGAAGTCTCTGGCGGTCACTGCTTGACCATCTTCTGCAGACTATCAGTCTATCTACTGCGCTTGTGTCTAACCATTGGATTGGTGACGTCGGTCTCTCTGATCGCACTTGAGTTATTCCATATTCTTATTACTCTCACTACTTCTGTCCTACATCGTCTAGGTTACGCCGTTTCTTGCTTCGAGATTGCTATAAGGGAGGCAAGTCAGGATGCTCAACCCTTTCAGCATCTTCACCCAGGCCTTTCCGCCGCGGCCGCAATTCACAGAGAAGGATATTCCCGATCTCTCTGGCAGAGTTAGTATCTCACGTAATACCCTCATCATGACTCGCTTGATACTTACACGTCGCAGATCTGCATCGTTACAGGAGCAAACACTGGTGTTGGCAAGGAAGTCGCACAAATTCTGTACTCCAAGAACGCCACTGTCTACGCTACCTCCCGTTCGGAAGAAAAGGGCCGTTCAGCCATCAACGCTATCAAGGAGGCGGTACCTAATTCTACAGGAAAGCTGGATCTCCTCACTCTGGATCTGGCCGACCTCACCACCATCAAACCCGCAGCCGATGCCTTCCTCGCCAAGGAGACGCAGCTGCATCTTCTCATCAACAATGCCGGTGTCATGATGCCGCCTCAGGGGAGCAAGACAGCCCAGGGGTACGAATTACAGCTGGGAACAAATTGTGTCGGCCCGTTCCTCTTCACCAAGTTGCTGACGCCGACTCTGGTGCAAACGGCCAAGACGGCACCCAAAGACAGTTGTCGTGTTGTCTGGGTCTCCAGCTCAGCCGCGGAGGTCTTGTCGCCCAACCCTGCCATCGAGATCGATAATCTCGACTACAGTAGAGATAGAATCAAGGAGTTCAAGTACGGCATCAGCAAGGCAGGCAACTACTTCCACTCTACTGAGTTCGCCAAGCGACACAAAGCCGACGGCGTCATCAGTCTAGTAAGTCTTGGCAAATATCTGGTCAAGAGCATGTGAAATGGATAACTAACTATCCAAAGGCCTTGAACCCAGGAAACCTTTCATCAGAGCTGGATCGCCACATCACGGCGCTGATCCCGACGCTGTTCAGAAAAGCCACCACATATCCTGCCATCAATGGCGCTTACACGGAATTATTTGCGGCGTTATCTCCCGATGTGACCATTGAGAAGACGGGCGATTGGGGTGCGTCCGACCTTGTCTGCTGAATTTTATGGTTTACTAATTGGACGTCTTACAGTTGTTCCCTGGGGTCGTTTTTATGCCATTCGGGATGACCTTGTCCAGGGCTCCAAGTCCCGCGAAGAGGGCGGTACAGGTCTCGCCGAGGACTTTTGGAAATGGACTGAAGAGCAGGTAGCAAAGTATCTCTAGTGTACGAGCTTGTTCAGTCACCTAAGAAGGTCCAAAAATCTGCCAAATTTCGTCGTTCACCACTTGTGACTAGAGGCAAATCCAGCAATACAACACAGCCAGGGAGTCGTCAAGTGGTGAATCACTAGTTCTTCATCACAGTTCAGACATCAAAAGAGCGGGCAGCTTTGGTATCGTACACTGAAGAATATATCCAAAACTAAGTCCAATAGGCACAGTGACAAGTCTTATATGCAAAAATGATATGTACATCAGAAGTGGTCCTATCCTCGCCTCGGAGTCCAAAGGGACACCCAGGCAGCGTTCGTTCTCCTCAAGCTCCAATCAACAGCGGAAAGGCTTAGTTGCGCTTGGCGTGGTTGCGGCGGCGGCGGCGACGGCACGCGGGCTTGGCGCTAGCAGAGGCAGCGGGAGCAGAGCTGGTGGTGGCAGCAGCCGGGGTAGTGGCAGCGGGAGCGGAGGGCTCCTCGGAGACAACGGGAGCGGCAGAGGAAACGGGGGTGGCGACGGGAGCAGAGGAGGAAGCGGGCTCAGACTCGACGGGAGCGGCGGAGGAGACGGGGGCAGCGCTGGTGGTAGGGACGGCGGTGGTGGTAGGAGCCGCAGTGGTAGGGGCGGCAGCAGCGGGAGCAGAGGAGGAGGCGGCGGCGGCCGAGGTGGCGGCGGGGGCAGCAGAGGAAGCAGGGGCGGAGGAGCCGGTGTCGGAAGATCCGGAGCCGACGGCCTTGGTGATCTCGCCGTTCTCAATGTAGACGCCGGAGAAGTAGAAGTCCTCGGTCTCGTCGGCGTAGCCGTCACGGGGGAGCTCGAGGACACCGACGTGCCAGTCGGCACCGTTGCTGGAGGCGGAGGCAGTGACGGGGGCAACGACCTGAGTCAGGGCCTCGGCGCCGGTAGAGTGCCAGAAGCCGACGGAGCCGCCGTCAAAGTCGATCTCGTAGGCAACGTTGTGCCAGACGTCAGCGTCCCAGTTGACGCTCCACTCGGTCTTGCCGCCGACGACCCAACGGAGGAGGGGGTCCTCGGTGCCGGTGGCGCCGCTCTGCCAGCCAGACTTCATCTCGACGAAGTGGCTCTCGAAGAAGGCGATCTGGTGCTCCTTGTTGAGGGAAGGGGCGTTGGTGTCGCTGCGCTTCAGGGAGAAGTGGTAGAAGAGCTTGCCCTTGCCGATGGCGGCGGTGGTCTGGGGGATGAGCTCGGTACGGCGCATGGTCTGGCCGTTCCAGAAGGAGGTGCTGGTCAGGGAGATCTTGGCACCCTGCTTGGAGCCCGTGTCGGCCGGGTTCTTGAAGTCGGAAGAGAGGTTGACGTAGTCGGTGGTGGCGCCGGAACCGTGGATGTAGTACTGGTAGGGGCCGACCTGGCTGCTCCAGGACCACTTGTCGAGGTCAGTGGCAGAGGTCATGTCGTTGAAACGACCATCCCAAAGGATCTCGCACTGGGCGCGGGTGGCCAGCAGAGCCGCGCTGGCGATGCTCCATGTGAACTTCATTCTTGCGGGTTGGTTGTGTGGTTGGCTTGGGAGTTTTGGGTGTAAGTGAGCGTGTATATGCCTAAACCGACCGGGCGGCTTGGAGAAAGCTTGAATTCAAGGGTTTGAGCGAATGGAATGTTTCGAAAAGAAAGAGAGGACGCAGGTCGCAGCAATCGATGCCTTGGCCTTGCTTGAGGAAGTTCAATGTACGATAGAGAATGTAGCTAAGCTCAAACGAAACGAGGGTTGCGTTACGCGTTGGCAGACCAGCTCCTTTATGTAGGTCTCCTTCGGCTTCCTGGACTTTAACCCTTGGGATGAAGATTCAACTCCATCCTCGCTCCGTGGTTCCTGGAAAGGAGATGACCCCGCAGGTTTAGCTGCGAGGAATAGAGTAGAAGGCTCCTTTGGGGAGATGGGCCTTGCAGAAGCACTTTGTTTCACGGCAAGGTTTCCCGGTTCAGCGGATGCATCTTGCAAGCCTCTGTCAAGCGAATTAGGCCTGTACGCACTACTACGTACTCCGTCCGCAGTGAGTGAGATTAGATTGCGGAGTTGTCCCTGACTTCAGGTGAGGCCATGGTTGATGAGGCCACGCCTTTTCCGTACGTGTGCGGCCTGCAGGTCCCAGGTTGCGGCGGCAAGGCAAGGCATGCCCCATACACAGTAGCAACTTTGGCTAGAAGCAAAGAAGCAGAAACTGCAGGATCCCGCAGCGAAAGGAGTCATGGAAAGACCAGGGCCTGGGCTCGGGTGGGAGAGGCGGACCAACACAGCCAGAGAGAAATGAACAGGGTGTTGAGTGGGCGCTTGATATTAATGAAGTCGAGCCCACATCTCGTTTGCATCTTGTATGGATGACGATGCAGGGGGTGCTACAAGACTGCGAGAACGCACGTTGTAGTCGAGAGAGAGCCGCCCAGGTGCGAAGCTTCTGCTGGTGGGAAATTTGCACACGGGGCTCGGGGTGGGTCCGCTAGGCCGGATCGGGGCCGTCTCCAAACGAGCAAGCCGCAAGCGCCCCTTTTCGGCACAACCGGGAATACCCTTCTTTGGGCCTTCGCCGTAGTGTACAATTGCCAATATTCAAGCACCCAAGTTCATCCCAGAAAACTCAATTTGAGAAAGCCACCGCCCGCCTGTCAAACTGCAAGCCTTTTTGCCGCCTTCATCGGCTGCCACCGTCGGGTTGTGGGCGACGGCGTGGCGGCGGGAAAGACTTCCAATGACGTGATGTGGTATACCCGAAATAACGTTCTCTCTTTCGGCTATCGCTCACCTTAATTCACCTTAAGTATGTAATAGGACACAAGGGTACGGATACACTGCTTATTGGGATTGAACGTTAAGAAGTGCGAATAAGGCGGGAGATCTCCCGAGATAGGCATGCATACCCGGGCCCGAGACTGTGGACTGTCAGCAAGCCGCCCCGATTTTCTCCCTAGGGCTTCAGATCAGCCCTGATCAATAGACAAGCAAGATATGCAAGACAGCAATCATCATTATGGAGAGAGGTCAGTTATGCTAGGTCGAGAAAGGGCAGCAACCGTTGAATTGGTTCATCATTCCTGCTCTCCAGATACCTTCATCAGTTCATCTTATATTCCTGGCTAACCGACCAAAAACCCGCTTCTTCATCTTCTATAGTCCTGGCTCTCATCACGA